GGGGGAGAGCTACAGGATAACGAACCAATCTTATAAATAGACCGGAAGCCTTTGGCTAGTGCGCTGACCTACTCGCCTTCACCTAACCAAGCACAGAGCTGTTAGGAAGGTTGGCGCCTGGTGCCTAAACAGGAGACATCGCACCGGTATGCATTCTCCACGCAGAAAATACAAGCTAAAAGTGATTTACAAGGAGTTCTCAAGTACCGAGATAGATGCTGTTGCATTACTAACTCCAGCCAAGTCTCTGTCGGCTGCATCATCATGTGTGTCATCGAAGCAAGACGTTTCAGGCAAGAGCCCCGAAAAAACAGCAACATCATCCTCCATGGTGGTGGTCATGGATTGTCCAAGGTACCACATGTATGTCTTGGTAGCTGAAGCTGACCCAACATGCCCTAACACAAGAACACTACTCGGAGGATGACTTAATTTGGTTTCATCAATCTAGAATCCGAATTATGTTCTTTTATTACTAGGTTCTAATCCCCCCCTCTCCCTCCTCCCAAAAGAAAAGAAAATCCCCCTTTCCCTTTCATTTTAGTTCCTATAAATAGCACTACTTGAGTTCCATTGTTGCGACTTAGATTTTTTTTTCATTCTTATTCTTTCCCCATTGTCATGAACTAGATATTCTAAAAAGAAACAAGGGAAATCATTTTTCCTTTATTTTGGAAAAAAAGAAGCTATACATAGACTCCCTTAGTTTCATTTTATATGGCATTCTCTCTTTTTTTTTGTCCGTTAAAGAAAAATGACAACTTTATATATTTAGATACCCACCGGAATAGTAGTCCAGGAGCGGACAAGCTAGGCTGGATACCATATACTAAAAAAAGGCTTTCCATTTTATCCATGACATGGTTTTAAGTGTTCTTTTGTTGTGTGCCAAAAGTCTTTCTTTTTAACAAAGAAAATATTCTGAACCTAGTTAAATATCTCTATATAAAACGAAAGGGAAAGAGTAGTTGTACAATTTGAAAAAAAATATACGTACTATATTTATACTAATGCTGCACACTTTGTCACAAAGTAAGGGAAGATCCATGTAGTTATACTTTGCAATCACTTAAAAAAAGTACATAAATTTAGTTCTTTAGTTACTCCTAATTAGTCATATAAATAAACCAACTCAAGAAAAGGAAACAAAAAAATGGAGATAAAGACTGTCACCTGCATCAATAACAGAATCCCAATGAATCTTCCCATCTTTCTCAAATTTCTTCAAATCCCAAGTCCCACTAACCCATCTACTATCCTGAAACTTCCTCACCCCCTCTTCCGCCGCCGGAGCTCCGGCGGAAACCGCCGGCGGTGACCCATTTGAGTTCAAAGCCACCCCATTAGACTCCTCAGCTTTTTCTTGCTCAATAGTCACAGCTGAAGTAGCTGTAATAACATCATCAACAGCTCTAAAGGAGAAATGGGGTTTCTTGAGAGTTAAAGGTATATATAGTTTGTGTGTTAAATGGGGTTTTGGAGGAGAGAGAGTTGGGAAATGGGGTGGAGGAGCTGAGAATAAGGCCATTGATGACATCATAGAACTTTGAGAGAAGTACTATACTACTGAATTTTTCCACAATCCTCAGCCGCAAAGATGGGAGCTTTTTATATATAGCTATTTAAAGATTGAGTTCTAATTTTACTTGTACATTATTTTGTAGTTTTATTTTATATGATGAACTGAAATTTAAGAAGAAGAAAAATTATTGATAAGTAGACGTTTGGACATAAAAATTGTAATTTTTGATCAAGAAAATGTAGTATTGGAAGTTACGTTGGAAAATTGTATTTGAAATTTAAAATTATGTTTGGATATGTATTTCACTTGAAATAATATTGCAATTTCGCGAGTGAGGAAAAAGTTTTTCTAAATTTTTTGAAAAAGTGGTCAAAATTATTTTTTAGTTTTTGAAAAATTAATTTTTCAAAATTTTTCAAAAACTTGTAAAATTTCATGAACAAATACATTTTTAAAAAAAAAAATTATGAACAAACGGATCCTTATAATTATGTATTTCTTCTATCCTAGTTTATGTGATGATATTCATTGGGTGAGTAATTTGTCATTTAAAACAAATTATAAAAACTTATGTATCTATAGAAACTTCTCGTTAAAGATAAAATAAAAAATTTAAGGTAAAATTATTTTTAAATATAAAATGATATCATATTTACGATTAAATAAAAAATAAATATGCACATAAATTAAGATATTTGGAGTATATGACTGTTTTTAACATGACATAATTTTGGTAAAGTCGTTATTTAAGATAATTAGATTAGTGAAATTACAGATTTCTTCGCAAGCAGGAGAGTTCGACAATCCAATTATGTTCAGTCCTTTAATTGAAAGAAACCTTCAAAATGATAGTTTAATCCAATCGTAAGCAACACGCTGATTGAACCGCGGGTTAGTCGTTTAATTTTTTAAGAGATCTATAAAGAATTACATACGAAAAAATCAATGAAATTTTACATAGGTATATAATATGTACGTAAAAGAAATTTACTTATCTATACAATATAAGTTTTCCGGCTTGGACATGAATATGGTTTATCAATTTTTTTAAAAAACTTGTTTAAGAAAAAAGAATGTGCAAAAGCTTGATAATTGCATTCAAAGAGCTGAAATTGTCACTAGGGGTGTTCAAAACCGAACCGAAATCGAAACTTAATAGTTTATTGGTATCGGGTTAACGGTTTAATGGACATGCAACAAATTAAATTTTTTTTATTAATGGCTTATCGGTTTGGGGGCGGATTATTCAATTTTCTTAACGGATAATCCGTTAACCCGTTAAGAATATATATATATATATATATATATATACATATATAATTTATTTTTATCTATATATACTAATTACTAATTTACTTCCAGTGCTCTATCTCTATTCTCTATTACTAATTTACTATTAGACAAATTTTAATTGCTTGCTTCGAGTATTCTTTTCAATCCTATCAAACCAAAAATAATATACTTGATTGCTTCACGTATTCTTACCACCTCCAATAGGTGCAGTGAAGTACCAAAACTTAACAAACAAGAGATAGTTTAACGAGTAGAATCTGTTGTTAAATTGGGTTTAACACATACATCTGTAGGTTTGCTTGCATGTAAAAAAAACGTTAGTCCGCACACATTTCGGCAGGTGTTCTTGGATTGTTTAGAAATTAGAGCAACATCTAAAGAAAATTGGAGCAGTTATAAAACAAGAGCAAGAAATCCTATTCTTTGACCAACATCAGCATACATTTGAAGCATGGCGAATCAAATTTCGGACCCTCGCTAAATTTGGTAAATTGCGTCATGTGCAATATAGATTGAATTAGGCCGATAAACCGCCCGATAAGATCTAAACTGATACCAATCCGCCTGATATCTTATCGGGTGGCTAGCGGATTAATACATCTAAAAGCCGATAACCGATAAGACAAACCGTTAAGAGCAAATAACCGCCCAATCCGCCCGATAAGCAGCCCTAATTGTCACATTTTCCTCAAAAGATTCCTGATTACACTACATTACTGGCAATTCTGATGATGGACTAACTTCAATATTTTTGGGGTCTTCACACCTACCGGACTCCATTTGTAAAATTACGCTGAGTTTTTTCTTTTTTTTTTTATTATTGTTGGTATCACACTTACCACATTAACCAAAGGAGCTTGAGGTAAGCACCAGATAGCCATTCTAAAGGACTGTTATTTAGGAATTAATCAGTGCGTTCTGAAATTTAATTTTTCAGGACAAAAATATCCTAAATTTGTCATAAAGTTAAGATTTTTAATTTAAAATTTCAGGACAAAATAACTTGTGGCTTATCTCTAAATAGCATACCTGAGAATGACTATCCGTGCACTTGCCTCATAATATTAAGTGCACTAATAGCCATTTATATGGTCGCTGTTTAAAAAATAGCCATCATTTGCAATTAATTTAAAACTTCAGACCCGCTTCTTCTTCACCTTTCTTTTTACTGCTCCATGTTCTTCTTCCTCCTTTTCCTCTCCGTATACTCATCGTATTCCTACATAATAATCTGCGTATATACTCATCATATAACAATCTTTACAGTGTTATTATAAGCATTATATTTCTTACATTATTATTTAACTATATAACATTCTTCACATTAAATTAGGGCTAATTGCGGTTAGTTAAGTGATTCTAATGTTCATCTAATAGGAAAGAAACAACCCATCTAAGGGGTAGTTTGGTAAGATGCATTAGAGAAAAATAATGCATGCATTAGCTTTTGGTATTGCTAATCTCTTGTTTGGTATACTTTTTCAACCTATGTATTACTATGAAAATATTAGTTATACCACCTATTTGGTATTATCCTATGTATAACTAATACATAGCAAACTATGGTATTAGTAATGCCAAAGCTATTAGGGATCGTTTGTCAGGGTATATAAGAATAGTGCTGAATAAGGTGTATTAGTAATGTAGTGATTAGTAATGCATGGATTAGTAACGCAAGCATTAGTTATGCAAAGATTATTTCTTACCTACTGTTTAGTGTGGTGTATTAAAAATTAAAGTACATTGCATAATTTTTAATGCCTACAAAAATGCCCTCCATATTCTTTAGCTTTAATAAGGGACTTTAAGGATAATTTTATCTTTAACCATGCTAATTGTCATGGGCGGCTTTCCAGCCATGCCATTGGACGCGCCCCATGGCGTTCTAGCAAGCCTTCCAATGCTTAGGGGGATTTCACTTCAACCTGGAGTACCGAAGTGGGAAGACTAATCATGTTGCCGATGCACTCAGTTGGAGAGCTGATCTAGCATCGGTGTGCCTACTCTCCTTCCTAAGGGAGAGCGAAGTAGCACCACCATAAAAAATCAGATACAGGATCTACTCATCAAGGATCCTGTTGCACAGTATTTTATTGACTTGGTAGGACATGGCAAGACTCGCTAGTTCTACATGGAATATGGTTTCCTGAAAGTGAAAGGGAGCCGACTTTATGTTCCCCAAGGAGGAGATTTGCGAAGGACTCTTCTAACGGAATGTCACGATACTTTGTGGGCCTGTCATCCCGTTGAAGAACGCACCATGCAATTACTTCGTCGTGCATATTATTAGCCTCAAATGGCCGATGACGTCGCTCAGTATGTGAAGACTTGTCTAGTATACCAAAAGGACAAGTCGGACTGCTTGACACAAGCGGGACTCTTGGAACCACTAGCTCTCCTAAAGAGACCTTGGGAAAACGTTTCCCTGGACTTCATCATCGGATTGCCCAAAGTAGGAGATCTTATAACTATCTTGGTTGTGGTGGATCGGTTTTTCAAGTATGCTACCTTTGTAGCAACCCCGCAGAGCTCGACTCTTCTTCTCTCATGTCGTCAATATTGGGGTTTGCCTAAAGACATCGTTAGTGATAGCGACTCACGTTTCACTAGCAAATTTTGGACACAACTCCTTAAATGTCTCGGGTCAAAACTGAGTCACATCTCAAATTTTCATCCTCGATCTGATGTCCAGACGGAGTGGTTTAATGGCATGCTGGAGAATTTCTCCGCCACTTTGTAAATGGATCGCAGAAGAACTGGGTGAAGCTTCTGGATGCTACTCAACTGTGTTTCAATTCACAAAAGAGCTCTAGTACAAACAAAAACGCTTTTGAAATTGTTACCGGACAGCAACCGCTACTCCCACACACTGTGAATGCACCAAACATGTCAAAATCTCCTCGAGCTGCTAGTTTCTCAAAAGAATGGAAGCGAAATTTGGAGATAGTGCGGAGCTATCTTGTCAAAGCCCAAAATCGGATGAAGAGGCATGCTGATCAAAATCGTCGCTTTGTTGAATAGCAAGTAGGAGACAAAGTGATGGTTAAAATTCCAATACGGTACTTGTTTACAGGGGTCCATGACCCTCGCCTATTGCAAAAATATATTGGACCCTTGCCAATTGAAAGGTGCATTGGAAACGTTGCATACCTGGTGGATACCCCAGCTTGGTGGAAGATCCATCCCGTCTTCCGTGTCAGTCTTCTGAAACCTTTTCGGGAAGACATGGAGGATCCTTCACAGAGCCAACTCATAATACCAAGTATTTGAGGCCCCAATTCAACCAGGAAAAGGCGTATTGAAGCTATTCTTGATAATCGAGTGATTCACGCCTCAAAAAAAAATCACCAAGAGTTCATGGTGAAATGGCAGGACAGTGATGCATATGAGAATACTTGGGAGAGGGGAACAAACCTCAAAGCCTACAAGAGCCTAATTGATGATTATCTTGCAAGTAAGGCGCCGAGGATGTCGCCAACTCGGGTGGGGGAGAATGTCATGGGCGGCTTTCCAGCCATGCCACATGACCCCTTGGACGCGCCCCATGGCATCCTAGCAAGCCTCCCAACGCCTAGTGCCATGGACGGCCCTGTGGTCTTGGCTGCACCAAGTGACAAGCATGCATATGCCTCTGTCGCCCCACCGATAACCCTCGCCAGCGCCCAGTCGCAGGAAGATGCCAACAGCGCCACATGCGCAGACAACGCCGCACATAGACCGTGATGTCAAAGACAAGGTTGCTGACAACGGACCTGTTTCTACCTTGTAGAAAACTAAGTCCTTTTCATTGTAAATATAGAGTAGTTTTATTCCATGTACTTCCATTATGATTCTCTAGCTTAGTTAGGTCCAGTCTTGTAACTTTGATTTATTTTTTTAAATACTATTAGGGGGGATCAAGCAATCAAACTTTCTAGCAAGCAAACAATTCTCTATATTGGTGTCTCTCCCCCTCGTCACTGTGTTGCTTTTCTGTAATAGCTTTTATTAATGCAATCAAGCTTTCTTTCATTCTTAATTCTCATTTATATTCTCTCAATTGCTCTTGACATTGGTTTTCTCGTACGACACTGACAATTTCGTCTAACATATGAAAGGGACCTCAGTTGGCGGATAGTAACTACACTGACATCAATTGCTTAACTTACGTCAACCTTCCAAGGAATCTCAAGAAGGCAGCCATAATGCATATATTAATAAACCTGGTACTGCTAATACTATGATTTGCTATGTATTAGTTATACATTGGATAATACCAAATAGGTTGTATAACTAATACTTGCATTAGTAATACATATGTTAAAAAAGTGTACCAAACAAGGGATTAGTAATACCAAAAGCTAATGCATGCATTATTTTCTTTGATGCATCCTACCAAACAACCCCTTGATGCATGCATTAACATGGTTAAAGACAATTATCCTTAAAATCCCTTAATGCTAAAGAATATGGACTAATTTTTTTTAAAATTATGCAATGTATTTTAATTTTTAATACACCACATCAAACAGTGGATAAGAAATAATTTTTGCATAACTAATGTTTGTCTTACTAACTCATGCATTACTAATACACCTTATTCAGCACTATTCTTATACACCCTACCAAACGACCCCTTAGGATAACAACAAGAAGAAATGTTTGAAAGGAGCATAGCAAGGAACTCTACCCCCTCCATTTGGAGATTCGATGAGTCTTTAGGACTGACTTCACCATCAATAGAACTAACACACAAAAGGGTGTTCAAAATTAAGCCAAAAATTTCACTGCATACAATATTTCTAGCCATTCATTACCACTTCTGCATTTTCAGCTATATTTTACATTGTTTTATCAACCTATACAAAAGGGAAAAACAATCATATCCATTTGCTAAATCCAAAATTTGGTTTCAAAATAGGTCAACCGCGAAAAGGTAACCATCCGAGCCCCTTTGGCAAATTCCATATATAAGTTTGCATGGGATATGCAACACTATCATATTGTTTGGCTTAACTAGCTTTGAGATATAAAGAAAGCAAGCAAAGTGTGATAATATGGCTAGGGACGGACGAGATGTGAAGGATACATTGAGCTACTACTAGCACTCGCTTGAGGAGTAAAACTTGATGTTGGTAAGAGTAGTTCTGCTTGAGGGAAGTAGCTGTTGGATGGCACATTCAGCAGCAAGTCCTGATCAGAATTTTCGTTTGCAGAACGGAAAGAATCCAGTACGAGGGAACTAGTCTCAGAAGGCAAGGCGAACGAGCTTTTTGGGCTGGAGTAAGAACCATCATTGTCTAATAGTTCCTTCTGCTCATAGATGCTTTTCATCACCGCACTCTTGGGGCTCTTCATTGTTGTCTTTGCACCTGAAGCGAAATAGCTCGTAAATATTTAAATTTGTTGGAATTAGTCAAATATGTAATCGACAACACACTGCACATGGAAATGGAGCAAAGGGGGGAGGAAATTCTTGTACATTCCCACATGAATTTGAACAATAGTTTAACTTGAGAAAGTTCTATGGAGAAGATACTAGATAGAGATAAAAGCTTCGTAGAATTGACGTATTTAATGTAGTCAAAGGTTAAAGGATATCAATCTCCCTATTGAACAAGTTGTGATGCTTACCTATTTATTAAGTAACTAGAGTAAAATAAAGTTGTGATGCTTACCTAGTCAAACCAATCATGATTTTCGCATATACTACTAAAGGAATATTTGCTGGTAGAGAGGGCTAAAAAGAAATACTCCCTTCGTTTTATTTTATGTGTCTTAGTTTGACCGGACACAGAGTTTAAGAAAAGTAAGGAAAACTTATGAATCTTGTGGTCTTAAATTAAAGATGTGTAATGTACCAAAATATCCTTGAATCTTGTGGCCTGAAACATGCCATGTGGATTGGCAGAGTTAAAGAGTTACTAAAAATAGAAAGTGGCAGTCTTTTTTAAAGAGACTAAAAAGGAAAGTAAGACACATAAATTAAAACAGAGGGAATAATAGAAGACAGAGATATATAGGTAAACTTCTCTTTTTACCAACCTTTATTTCCAACCTCTCGTTTTCAACAAATGTATTTACTCCCAATGGTAATAAGGCACACTATGTGGTTTCTCATGTGTGAAGAAATAACCCATAGCATTGTCGGGAACATTTTCTAAATATTACCGGTTATACGACATAACAACGTAGAGAACTCAGTAATGAATGCTCAAACTCATGTGCAAGTCCTTATCTAACATGTGCTTTCTTTACTATGCAAATTTGAACAACAATCCTCAGGTAAATACTTATCTCCCGTCAAAACAAGTCTATGACTGAGGAAATGTCAAATGTCATAAAGGGAAGAGTGAAAGAGGAACACTACCGACCCGAATACTTTAGATGTGGCCCCTCCCGTGGTCTCTTCGCATTCACTGAATGACATGTGCCGACAACACTTTGCTCTCCTGCAACTTCAGAACCGCTGCTACTATTCTTACATTTTGTGTCCTACCGAAGAAACAAAATTAGCTTCAATAAATTGCATTACATTTAGCAGATATAATAACATAGTAGATGGTGGATTACATGTTCAGTATATATGCAACAAATGGTTAGTAACCAAACCTTGAGTAGATTATATTGTTCCACCCACTTTGACTTTGATAAATAGCATAATATAAACCTCTTCAATGTTCTACAATCTTCTAATTTTACTCCTGGCAATGAGTTATCGAAAACACCTTCTGCAAGAAGTTTCTGGAAGGAAGAGACGTTTTCCTCAAATTGAGAGCTCTCGAACATGCTTCTAAGACTGCAGATAGAGAAAAGAACAGGAAAATAATTTGTTGTTCAAGTTCAATATAAGCCAAAACATGACCAGAAAGTGAAATATAGAGAAGACGTGCAAACCTATCTGGAGGCGCAAAAGAATCAACAGGCGGTAAGTACTTTAGTAGCTGTTGTTGTTCATCACTTGATAAATGCCTCATGAATTCTTCATAATTAAGTACATCCTGCACCAAGTATCACATAATCTTATCAATTTCTGATCGGTTCCAGTAACATTTCACACTGAACAACCTAGTGAAAATTGACTTTGAAAATGGTTAAAGACATTTACTGTTAAAGAGAAAGACAATCCACGCAAGTCAAAAGTTACTAATGATAATCAAAAGAGGAAGATCATTTTAAGACTACAAACAACAACAATAAACCAGCAGCACAGACAAGTTGGCGTTGTTAGGACATCCTATGGTAGTATTAAGTGAAAGAAAGCAAAATTACTTTATACAAAATACAAGAGAGAGTGACAGACCTTCAGTTCTATATAGCGAAGGGGTGAATTATGATGTCCAAGAATCTGTAGTGTTTCAAGTTTCTCTTTGTTTCTGCAATTTAGAAAATATATCAGAAAGATGGTAAGCATACACCAAAAACAAAGAGAAAGGCTTCAAATGCTCATAGAATGATGGAACTAGAATGACGCTGCAACAAGTTTACCTAACAATTCAACGGAAAAATGTGGACTTGTGTTGTTTAGAAGATGTGGTGACCAAAATAATGTATGTTCCAGACCCGTAGGTGATACCAAAGGCGGAGCCAGGATTTCAACTTTATGGGTTTTGGATCTAAGTACGACGACTAACAACAGGGTTCTAAGTTCAATATGTGTACAAATTTAATGAATTTCTTAACACAAATACACTATTTGAGCAAAAGCTACTGGGTTCCGCCGAACCCATGTACAGGCTTCTACCTCTGCCCTGGATGATACTACCTGTGTAGCGACATGACATCCAACTTTAGCAGATATAATGCATTTAACACCTTATATTCCATCTGACCAACATGCAGACAAAATTTAGTTTCTCGATGCAATTTTACATGCTATCAAGACTAATGGAGAGTGCACCTTTTAATCTGGTCTTGTTCCACAGCCTGACCAATAGGTTTCTTGGTTCTGTCGGCACCCATATTAGGTGAATTGACACCCTTAATAATATTTACAGGTCGGGTAGTCAATCGTGAATAAGCCTCATTGACAGAACGGTGCTTGTTGTCAACAGAAAGAGAGCTGGCTTCTGATTCTTCTTCTCTACCTATCGAACTAGGATGCCGAATTAGCATACTCCCATGTCCTATCTCAACCGAAACCATCGGCTTTTCACTCTCGAAAAGCAAATCATCTTCAGAGGATGCAGAGAAGCATGAACTTTGCTGTTGTTCATGTAAGATGGTATATAGGTCTTTGGTGAGCTTCTCGACTGAAGATGGCTTTGGCCGATTGAAACAGGTTCTCTTCTTTGACGGCACCGTTGTATCCCATATATTGGATTGCGCCGGGCCTGAAAACCAAAATCAAGGGGTAAATATTTCACGCACAAAAACTTCAAAACAGAAACATAAACATAAAACACAAGAAAATGCTAAGAACAAACAACTACACTTTAAGTTTGATTGAAAGAAGAGACCAAGTTCGAGATTTGGTCCCAAAATTTTCAGTTTTAGAAGAAAATGCAGCCATAATTCTAGAGAAGGTGCAGTTATTATCCAAAAAATATTCTCCCTGCATTTCAAAAAGAATCAACCTATTTCCTTTTTAGTCCGTTTCAAAAAGAAAGTCCTCTTTCTAAATTTGGAATCAATGTAACTCTAAACTTGCATTTTACCCTTAATGAGATGATTTATAGCCACACAAATAACTATAGATTGTTTTAGACCACAAGTTCCAAAAGACTTCGATTCTTTCTTAAACTCTGCGCCCAGTCAAATAGGTTCATTCATTTTGAAACGCAGGGAGTATATACTAGAGAAAGTGAAATAATTCTGAGAACAATATATTGATATAACTAATAAAAAGGTAGAACATAAACAGTAGGCATCAACAAAGAAATATTTAGGTTACCCGTCAAATCACTTGCTTCAGCACTACCAAATTGTGCACAGCTCTCGGAGTTTGAGACAACGGAACCAGAACTCGACCTGTTGCTAGTATCTTCATCTAAACACTTTCGGAAACCAAAATTATAATCAGGAGGACTTCCAACTTCAACCATATCATGACTTTGTTTTCGTTTCAGAACCTTTGCCTCTTTGTTCTTCATGGGCATGTTTTTGAACCTCGAAACTCGGTGTTCCTCAAAGTCACAAGGTTCTGCCCTTGCATGCAAAGGAGTATAGTTTGCCAAAGTCCCTTTTGTTCTCCACCGAGATCCACATGCGTTGCACAGTATTGGCTTTTCAGGCGGTCCATTACGCCAAAGTGGAGTGCCTGCAACATGATTTCGATGGTTAGGGCTGTACTCAAAGTACATAATATGGGGAAGTTCCCAAGTGTGGAGAGAAAAAGGAGGACGAGACACAAATTCCCACTGCGACAACAATTGGACCATGTAACTAAGGCACTACAAATTGCATGTCTATAATTAAAAATTCTTATGAAGTTGTTTCTTCAGTAGAGCAACAACGACGAGCAACAGGAAGCCTTCCACTCAACAACTCAGCTAAGACTGGAATTGAATAAAAAAGCAAAGAGCTCCACAGAATTTTCCATCAGAGATCATTGCACTAGATGCAACAACAACAACGACCCAATGTAAGTGTAATCCCACTACTGGGGTCTGGGGAGGGTAGTGTGTACACAGACCTTACCCCTACCCCGAGGGGTAGAGAGGCTATTTCAAATCATTGAACTAGATGGACTTACAAAAATACATGCTTAAAGAATTATACTCCCAAGAACAATGTGACATTGTTAAACATCTCTAGTAAACCTACTTGAAATCTGGCAATTACACAACTTGAACCAGTTTATCACTCTTTGTGCACGAGAATTTGTTACACGAGTCAATAACAAGAAAAAGAAAAGCATCCCAATATCCCAGATGACCTTAAGTAACACTAGTATTGGAAGAAGTAACCAATTGAACACGTCTTCCTAGAGAAGTTGGATTATTTACAGTTCAAAACTAAGAAATACAGCGAAAGACAAAAGAGGACTGCCAAGAAGATGTTATCAAACGTAGCGTACAAAGATTTTCTACTGGAGTAATTTGTTCTATGGTGTGATTCTTATGCAATCCCCTAATTTGAACAATGCAACCTAAATATTTGTCAACATGTTCCAACTCGTCACAATGTCGAGATCAACTCAAGCAGGAGTGGAATCAAGTGACTTGGTTCAGGGGATACAGAAATCGTCCAATAGAACTCAATGCCTTCACTTAGTGAGACGCTGACTAAGAATGTGCTATTATACAAGTTATGTGAACACACAACTGTAACAGAAGCATGACTAAGCAATCAAACAACATTTGTTCATGGAATAAACGTCCTTCGTATTACAAATCTCAGGATCATGAACTTAGAAATCAGTCATCATCAAATTGTCACTTTACGTGCTGCCTTCACCCCTTAAGGAACCATATCAATGCCACATTACAAAGTACATTTCAACATTGGAACCTATGTTACATTTACTAGTTATACATATCCGATACACATGTGTGTAAGACTGCAAAAGCGCAATCTTTTGCTAATTCTGTGTGCATTTTAAGAGTTAACACGAAGTACCCTATACTCATTTCCAACACGTTGGGAGCCAACGCATTTTGTTATCAACGCAAATGAAGGAACCATTATACACATCACATAGTTTTTAGAAGGGAAAATCAAGAATTCAATACAAATCAAAATATTCCCCAATTCTGTAGGAAAAATTTAAAGGGAACTAAATTGAACTTTTACATAGCCCATTTACTCATAGAGGCTTAATTAGCAGGATTTCAACAGACCAATATTCTACAAGAGAGTCAATTGGTATTAAAATAAAAGCAAAAAACAGTTCCAGAAACAAATTCTAACTCAAAAAAACAGTACTCAAATCCATAGAATTAAGTAAAACACAAACAACACAAACTCAAAACAGTACATAGCAATCTTTATTGTTCATTATTGAAGCAACAAAATTATGGGTATTTAGTTCCATAATTGAACAACTATTTAAGCAATAAAAAAAACCCATTTATATATTTTTTTTTTAAAGAATTCTATAGGGCAAAGAAACAAAAAAGACTCCACCTTTCTTGAAAATTAACAAAATTTAAGTTGAAAAAAAAATACAGTGAAGAATTATAAACTCACTTGTAACACCACAGTGATAGCAAGGTCCTTCCTTTCCCATCCAAAGATTAAATCTTTACACCAATAATTAAAAGTTTTTTTTTACTTAAGAAATGATAAGGAAAAAGTATAAAAATCTAATCTTTATAAGTTTTTGAATTCTGTTCAACCTTTTAATAACAAATTTTTCTGCAAAAAACACACCCAAAAAAAAAACTCAAGACTACACAGAAGAGTTTGTATCTTAAAGTCCCAGAAAACCCCACTGAAAATAGCAAAAAAATAAAATTATGAACAACTTTTTTAAGGGATTTGAGATGGGTTTTTCTTCTTTCTTTTTTTTTTTTTTGGTTTGAGCAATCAGCTGAAAATTTGTACAATTTAATGGACAAATGAAAGACCCATTGAAGGAATCTAATAAATGGTTGAAAAAAGGAAAGGGTGGAGTTTTGTTTTGCTTGTGTATATGACTTCTTTATTGTGTTTGTAAATTTGTATTTGAAGTAAATGTTTCAGCTTTCTTTGCTATTGCTATTGCTATTGCTTTTCCTTTTTTCTTTTTATTTACTCAAAAGAGAATTGGTATACATATATTAATTTCGTAATTAAATTTGAGATAGTTTATCTCACATTTGGTTGGAATAAAATCGTGGTATAACTAATCTCGAGATTAGTTATCCCATAATTGTAATATTTTTTATCCTTATGGGCGGATGGGATAACTTATCCTGAAATAATTAATTATGGGATAACTTGTTTTTCAACCAAACGACCCCTAATAGTGTAGTCATAATTGGACTTTTCTAAATATAGAGTTTTCTTTTCTGTTAAATATTTTTTAAATGTTCCAATTTTATTTTTTTTAGTTTAATGATAAAGTTATCTCCGTGTGATCTATGGCTCATGAGTTTGAATTGTGGAAGAAGTCACTAATGCTTGCATTAAAATAGGTTGTCTTCATCACACCAGTAGAATGTAGTTCTTTCTTGGACCCTGCGTGAATGCATATGCATTATGCACCGAGCTGCCCTATCCTTTAACGATTTGAAATTCGGAACTCATTGGCCGAACTAATTGAAATTATCGCTACGTAGGGTCCATTTTATGGAAAAATACTTTAAAAATTTCTCAATTTTCAAGACTCGAACCGAAACCTCTAATTAAAGGTAAATGAATCACATTCATCCTACTATCTTAATTGATGATAATTGTTCTAATTCCTTTATCTTTAATGAAAATGCATAAAGGAGATTATTTTATTTTATTAATATATATGGACTTCATAAATTTGAAGTTTACTTTGCTTAATATCTTTGTTGACTTTAGACTTTTTTGTTAAATCTTAAACATGTGCTTTCTTTTCAATTCTGTCCTTTCCTCTTTCCACTATGTGTATTGAATATAATGAATGCAGACGAAGTCATTGTCTTCTTTTTTTAATTGTTTATTTTAATTTTCTGATTTGTTTTTTAATTTTAGAGTTATGAAGCTTTTTTTATTTTCAGTTTGATTCATTAAAATATACTCTATTAAATTGTTATAAATATCGCTAGATAGACAGTGCATTTATTAATATACATGAGTATATTAAATATGAAATTAAGGAATTGGACAATTGATTTAATATATATTGCAATTATAATAGTTGGTTAATATGTTACAAATAACTCACATATAGTAAAACAAATAACTCTATTGTAATTCAGAAAACTCTATTATTATGATTCTAAAATAAGTTAAGTAGACCTACACGTCAATAAAACTTTATGAGATATTATTTGACAATTAAAAGCATTCATGCAAAGTAAAGTGCAAAATATGGTGATATAAATGAGCAATTAAAATGGGAAAATATTTACTCCGCATGTCCAATCTAATTATCATGTTTCAATTATTCTTTAAGCTTGATTTACATAAATATTTTTGGAGATAAATTTAAAAAGAAGTTTTTGATTTAAAATTTAATTATTGTACAAAAAACTCTTAATTACTATCTTGTAGGACGGTCAAATTTAGCCCAAGCCCAAATGGTGCCCAAGCCGCCCTGGTTGGGCTGGTTTTTGACCGCCCATTTGTTGAACTCAACTCATCTTAACCCAACACATCTCAACTCATTTAAAGTTGGGTTAATTTTTAGCTCAAATTGATCAATGAGTAACTTTGCCAAAATATCTTAGAAATAAATTTATTTTTTTGTTTGATATGTTATATATGACCATAACAAAGGAAAAAAAGTTTTATTTGGTAATTATACGATTCATAAGAAAATAACAAATATTAATTAAAGATTGATAAGAGTTGGGCAGGTTGGACTATTACCCAAATTTTAGTCCACCTTGACGCAATCCATCTTAGCCCAAGTAACTTTTGGGCGGGTCAAATTGACCCGTCGAATTATTGACTCAATCCGTTTTGACCCGTATCGATCCAACCCGCCCATTTGACACCCCTACTAGTAAAAATAGCAGGGACTAGCCAGTTTTCGAACTGGTATTCAAAAATAGTCAGGAGATCGGTGCACATTTGTACGAGCTTCCAGCATATTATGCTGGAACTCCAACACGCAAAAAGTTCCAGCATAATATACAGGAGATTGGAGCACATCTGTATGAACTTCCAGCATATTATGCTGGACCGGTATATTATACTGGAAGTCCAGTATATTATACTTGAATTCCAGAATATTATGCTAGAGTATTTTTTGGATTTTGAATAGTATTTTCGTTTAGATTTATTTTTACATGAAAAGTGGCTAAATTTCGATTACTTTTGAAACTGTGGCTATTTTTGAATGACCACTCGTAAATCTGGCTATTTTTTAATTTCTCCCCTTGAAAAAGGACATTGCAGGAATCAATTTGGCTCACTCGGTTGCGCACGCTATCTTTGCCATTCTTCAAGTTTGNAGTACCTTAATAAAATGTTTCATTGGTGCCACGTGGCAATAAATTCACTTACCTCTCATGGTATTCGTCTATTGGTCATTTCACTTAAAACAGCATATGGGATTCAACAATCGAGTCATCAATTAATTTGAAAATACCTCAACCCCNGTGATTTTTTGGCTTTTCTCTTGTGGTCCAAAATAAAAGTGATTTTTCCAGATTTCAAGAGTTAATTAATTATTTTTTTCCTACATTGCCCTTGGAGTAATTAATGTTGGAGTATGTACTAAGAATATTTATGTGAAGAGATAATAAAGGTTAATATGGTCAATTCCATTGTTAATTCATGTTAAAATATGAATTTCTTAATATGTGTGAAAACAACCAAAAAATCACTTATTTTGGACCGAAAGAAGTAAAATCTAAGCTCTCTCGACCCTCCAAGTGTAAATATACAACAAATGATCTCCTATGATCAACTACAATTTGAATAGAAAAAATAACCCACAAAGAGTTTTTGTATTTTCATACTAATCACTTGTGAAAAAGCGTCATATCATTAAAATAACATTTGCAATTGAGCATAAATCCTAATATTCCGAAAAATGTGACTATGCAACCGTGACTATGCAACCGTGAAAGTCCATCTATAGCTCACAGCTCGAATTAAAAAGGCAGCATGGTGCACAAGATATTCTGTGTTCACGTAGGGATCTGGGAAAGAATTGCACCCCAAGGGGTATGATGCAGACAACATATCCTAATACAAATATTTTTAGTTGTTTTTACGGCTCGAACACTTGACCTATAGGTAACCCGTAGCGGAGGTAGAATTTCCGCTAAGGGGGTTCAAAAAAATTAAATGAAATTATGGCTATTGGGAATTGAAACAACATCCTAACAAAGGTTTGAACTCCATTAACTACTGAGCTATATTTTTGGGCAGTATCAAGAAGATTCAAAATATAATATATAGAAGTACAAACCAAATTTCGCCTTATATGTACAATGTTTCCACCCCCTAAATCCGCCCCTGTAAATAACAGAGAGATAATTCTATCGTTTCTCCAAGGCTCGCCTTCGCTCACAACTCGAACTAGTTGAAAATTTTATGAGTTACTCCCTCCGGTTCACAATAAGTGACCAGTTTCCTTTTAGCACGCCCATTAAGAAAATGCTAAATCCTATACAAAAATACCTAGTATGACTAAACTACCCTTATTAAATATTGGTCACTTTTTAGGGATATGCACATAAGGTAAAAGAGTAAAAACAAATTAAAAATTTTCTTGATTTCCTAACTGGACACTTATTTTGAACCAAAATAAAAAAGTAAACTGGTCACTTATTGTAAACCGGAGGGAGTACTATATTTATAATTTTAGGATGAAAGAAAAAAGAAAAGGAAAAATAGAGAAGGAAGCTCACAACTCACAAGAAAGGGAAAGGTAAGGAGAGAAAAACAAGATTGAAAAAGGTTGTTCAATTTGGTCTGCTGAGCCATTATCTGTTAGGTCATAGTTGGGTTTCACGTACCGATAATAATAATTATAATAAGATTATGTTATATATATCGTTAAAGGTAAAAAAAATATATCATCAATTTATATTTATTTATGATAACAAATAATTTTTATTTTATTTTTAGAAGTACAAATCTTACCTCTTGTAATATTTTTTGAGTGATATCGTATGTAAAAAGTTCTTTACATTATCATTATTTGGTAACAAATTATTTAAACATATTTATTTAGAAAGTGTAGAAAATAATGTTTATCTCTAGAAATTGAATACATATTAGCTTAAAAAACACAGAATACATAATTAATTTGGGCAATAAACAAATTAATTAATATAAATAATCGGTAAAGGTGGGACCCATTCTAGCTTCCCCAATTTCTAGCTTTCTCTACCTTTGTTTTTTCATGTAATTTTATTTGACTTTCGTAAAGTGAAATTAAACAATTACCACTAATGGTGGCGGTGACTTGGAAAGGATCCTTCTGTCCTTAATCAGATATCTCGGATTCAAGCATTAAGTATAGAAAAAATCCCGTTAGAAAATATTTTTTCTTTTAGTGGACCTTACGTCATGTGAATCTGGATTAGTCGGGATTGTAATACGAAAATCAACCTCCCCTCCCCCTCCATAAAAAAGGAAAATCAAACAATCCTTCAGGGTAAATGGGAAAAGCAATTCCGCATTACAATCAAAGAGCTTTAATTAAGGATGCACTGATGTTTTCACTCCACCACAATCTTTGGTGGTAATAAAAAGAAAGGTTAACACAAAATTGTCAAACAAATTAGACTTAATCATGTCATTAATTAACAACGTAATTAAATCTTCAATTGTCGCAATAATTACAAACTGATTTTGAAGGACCACGGACTTCCATTAGGTTGGAGGCTTTGACTATAGTATAAAGGAAATAAACTACCTATCCATCAACTAATTAGTTCAAATACCTAATTTAATGATTAATAAACATTTATTATAGAAAAAAAAACATATTCAATTAGCTACTAAAACAGTTCTTTCTTTTTTTCCAATAGTAAACACAAATTAGCAATGCACATATATATGAATAGGTATG